TATTAATTTTTTTTAATGGTTGGAAAAAACATTTTATACAAGTATTGTGGAAATGGCTGGACATAAATTGGATTCCTTGTCCTACAGAAACTGGTCACATTTTCTAATTAACTTTGACACTCGCTACACTGCTTAAGGATATTGCAATGTACATGTTATATACCTTCTCTAAGCTTTCTTTATGTCAATCTCGTCTTAATTTTGGTTGTGTGAAGAGTAGTTTTAAAGTGCCAATCTGTCTGCAAATAAACACTTCTTGTTTCACATTGTTTCCAATTATACTAAATTGGTCTATTTGTATCAGACATTCAACACTAGCTTTGGACTTTTAAAGCTGCCTTCAGCTTTTATTTTTGTAGGAAAAACAATTCTGTGTTGTTTCAAACTTGAGTATTTCAGTAATTTGATCTTGGAAAGGTGCATCCGCCTTTTTTAATTATTAAAACAATGCCCTAAGAGCTACCCCTTTATAGGAAACTAGTGATGTTAGTTTCTAAAAATAGAATATCAGGAAATGAATCGTCCGCTTTACTAATTTACATATAGAGAGTAGAGGGGTATCGAGGGGCTTCCTTTTTGTTTAAATATTTTATCAACAGCTAATTTCATTTTACACCTTATTCTTTTGATTTGACAATTATATGAAATAGTATGTCTATAAATAACATACTTAACTTTTAGAATAGCTGAATGCCACTTAAAAATAACAGATCAGCAGAAAGGAAAACCAAAAAAACCCATCTAAATATAAAGAAAAATTTGCATGAAAAACTACCGTATATAATGCAGAAATCGGTCTCATTGTTGTTTGGAATCATCAACGCTGGAATATAAACATTTTTATTCTCCTATGACATATAGTTACCAGCATATTTAAAACTTCCTTTAACTGGATTTCCTACCAATTTATCAGCATTATTCTCCGCCTTAAAATAACAGTACAACATAGATTTTAACTGTGCAGTTCCCCAAAAAGTCAATTTTTTAACACCAACTTTGTTTAATTTAGTCAAATGGCTTCCATAAACTGAGCGAGCTTTTACAGATTTTAGAGAAAAGTATTAACTTTATTAAGCTAAATGTATTACTGAGAAACTTGTGCTAATAAAATCCTACCAAGACTGATTTATGACCCTGGTTCTTTTTCTTGATAAAAGTTCAAGGCATTTAAAAGTTTCAAAAGAAGATCTTCTAAAACATACACAAGTTTCTTGGTTGTTTTTTTTTCCAATTGGTTAATGCATGTATTCCAATGGACCACAGCTCGGAACTCAAATGCTTTCTGTATTCTGCTATGACATAATTGAATGTGACCAATCTTAAGCTAACAAAAAATTAATGATATAAAACAAGTCTTTTTATTATATAACTCCAGGCTCTTCGTCAAGGGAAAGAGTGTTCCAGATATAAGATTAAGGGACAAAGTCTTCTAGATATAAGATTAAGGGACAAAGTGTTCCAGATATAAGATTAAGGGACAAAGTGTTCCAGATATAAGATAAAGGGACAGAGTCTTCTAGATATAAGATTAAGGGACAGCGTGTTCCAGATATAAGATTAAGGGACAGAGTGTTCCAGATATAAGATAAAGGGACAGAGTCTTCTAGATATAAGATTAAGGGACAGCGTGTTCCAGATATAAGATTAAGGGACAGAAAGTCCATGATACTAGTATAACATTAAGGGACAGAGTGTTCCAGATATAAGATAAAGGGACAGAGTGTCCATGATACTAGTATAACATTAAGGGACAGAGTGTTCCAGATATAAGATAAAGGGACAGAGTGTCCATGATACTAGTATAATACTAGTATAAGATAAAGGGACAGAGTCTTCTAGATATAAGATTAAGGGACAGCGTGTTCCAGATATAAGATTAAGGGACAGAGTGTTCCAGATATAAGATAAAGGGACAGAGTGTTCCAGATATAAGATTAAGGGACAGAGTGTTCCAGATATAAGATAAAGGGACAGAGTGTTCCAGATATAAGATTAAGGGACAAAGTGTTCCAGATATAAGATAAAGGGACAGAGTCTTCTAGATATAAGATTAAGGACAGCGTGTTCCAGATATAAGATAAGGGACAGAGTGTCCAGATATAAGATTAAGGGACAGAGTGTTCCAGATATAAGATTAAAGGACAGAGTGTTCCAGATATAAGATTAAGGGACAAAGTGTTCCAGATATAAGATAAGGACAGAGTGTTCCAGATAAAAGATTAAGGACAGAGTGTTCCAGATGTAAGATTAAGGGACAGAGTGTTCCAGATATAAGATTAAGGAACAGAGTGTCCATGATACTAGTAAAACATTAAGGACAGAGTGTTCCAGATATAAGATAAAGGGACAGAGTGTTCCAGATATAAGATTAAGGGACAGAGTGTTCCAGATAAAGGGACAGCGTGTTCCAGATATAAGATTTAGGGACAGAGTGTTCCAGATATAGGATTAAGGGACAGAGTGTTCCAGATATAAGATTTAGGGACAGAGTGTCCATGATACTAGTATAACATTAAGGGATAGAGTGTTCCAGATATAAAATAAAGGGACAGAGTGTCCATGATACTAGTATAACATTAAGGGACAGAGTGTTCCAGATATAAAATAAAGGGACAGAGTGTCCATGATACTAGTATAACATTAAGGGACAGAGTGTTCCAGATATAAGATAAAGGGACAGAGTGTTCCAGATATAAGATTAAGGGACAGAGTGTTCCAGATATAAGATTAAGGGACAGAGTGTTCCAGATATAAGATTAAGGGACAGAGTGTTCCAGATATAAGATTAAGGAACAGAGTGTCCATGATACTAGTAAAACATTAAGGGGACAGAGTGTTCCAGATATAAGATAAAGGGACAGAGTGTTAAAGATATAAGATTAAGGGACAGAGTGTTACAGATATAAGATTAAGGGACAGAGTGTTCCAGATATAAGATTAAGGGACAGAGTGTTCCAGATATAAGATTAAGGGACAGAGTGTTCTAGATATAAGATTAAGGGACAGAGTGTCCATGATACTAGTATAACATTAAGGGACAGAGTGTTCCAGATATAAGATAAAGGGACAGAGTGTCCATGATACTAGTATAACATTAAGGGACAGAGTGTTCCAGATATAAGATAAAGGGACAGAGTGTCCATGATACTAGTATAACATTAAGGGACAGAGTGTTCCAGATATAAGATAAAAGGACAGAGTGTTCCAGATATAAGATTAAGGGACAGAGTGTTCCAGATATAAGATTAAGGGACAGAGTGTTCCAGATATAACATTAAGGGACAGAGTGTTCCAGATATAAGATTAAGGAACAGAGTGTCCATGATACTAGTAAAACATTAAGGGACAGAGTGTTCCAGATATAAGATAAAGGGACAGAGTGTTCAAGATATAAGATTAAGGGACCGAGTGTTCCAGATATAAGATTAAGGGACAGAGAGTTCCAGATATAAGATTAAGGGACAGAGTGTTCCAGATATAAGATAAAGGGACAGAGTGTTATTGATATAAGATTAAGGGACAGAGTGTCCATGATACTAGTATAACATTAAGGGACAGAGTGTTCCAGATATAAGATTAAGGGACAGAGTGTTCCAGATATAAGATTAAGGGACAGAGTGTTCATGATATGTGATTTAGGGACACTCGGGTGTTCCAGATATAAAATTAAGTCTCAGAATCTTAACAACCTTTGCTAAAAGGTATAATAAAGCCAAACCAGCACCAATTTAACCAGAGGGCTGTAATATTAGTTTTTGAAGCTCGATTTTTAAAATATTTAAATTTTGATAATGACATAAAAATTAGTAATAGAACATTCAACTGGATTAGGGCCTAAAATAAATTACACTGTTGGTAACAGCAGCTTTATTTACTGGATATGTACAGTATCTCCCTCCATGTATGATGGTAAAATTTAGACAAAGGATGTGACATCATTTTGAAATGCAACTCAGAGAAGTGTGATGTATCAGTCTGGTGTAATTTATAACTAATGACTGATTTCAATGGAGACCTGGAGCAAATGTAATTATATAAATGCAAAACTGATTTCCCGTACATCATTACCGAGACCGTTTCCATCATCCTTCAGGCGAGCTATATTTAGATGTTCTTACATTATTCACCAGCATGCTCCTTGAGGACATAGACTGGCTGTCCTCATACTGGGAAATATCCAAATCTCTAAATAATGCCCTTTAATGAAGCTCTTTCGAAAGTAATAAGAGATTTCATCCAGTCATCATGTCTCCAGTTCTCAGTTTTTACTGGATATAATACAACACGTAATTTCAATATATATTCCACCAGGGTTTAAAGTCAACTACTGGATAGGCTTTTACAGACAACTGTGAAGAAAATAATTCTTGATCGTTCAAACATTTTGTTTCATTATAATTATGAGAAACAAATCTTAATTTGTAACAGTTGTTTCCCTTTAGAAGACTGGAACCAAAAGTTAGCATCCTTTATCATGAGTATATAGAAAGGCAATTTATAAACCATTTGACAGCTCATCTGTTCAGTATGACCAGTGAGCCAATTTCCAAATTTTTACTTGACATAATTTTAAGTCTAAATTTGCAAGACTGGTTTAGTTGAAATGGCTGCGAAAATCTGGCAGCAGAAGAAAGAAGCGGTCACGAAATGGAAGTAGATAAAAGTACTTTTTTATTTCATTATTTTGAAAAGACATTTAAACTCTGTGTACTTGAAGCTACTACAGGGAGCAAATTAATAAGACATGATCTAGATTCTTCATGATAGAATCTTGTCACATTTCTAATTTCCCATACAAAGAAGAAATTTCCTCCACTGACCTTTAGGCTTTGGTCTTCTTTTTTTAGAACAGTACACCTTTAAATGCATAGATCTAGATTGTTTCTCAAAGAACATAGGAGACATTATGTCATATATTGATGGTTAATTTACATTATCAATGGCCAAACTGAATCTGCAAATCCTATAATGCAACCAGTGCCTGTTTTATACACACTTACCTTCACTATATGATGTAATAATAAATTTAAAGCCTCTTCCATTACGTCCCCCATCATCAAATCTTGTTGGAGGTTTATATTTGTCTGTTCTGAAAATAAAAAGACAAAAAAATGTAATCATAAGACACAAAGAACAAACAATATAGTCATTGCAAGAACAGTCTAAAATATCAACAGCCATTGGTCATTTTCAAATAGATTGCACCAATAGAAAGATGTCACATTACAAGACTGGATCTCAAATATTTTTAACCAGTCAAATATAAGAAGACCTTCATATAACTTGTTCAAATTTAAATCATTTAACAGTTTTCAACCAATCAGAGGCTCCGGATTAGAACCTGGTACACTTTGATCAGATTCCTGAAACCTGGTAAATTTCTTAAATGGACATGTCCCTTAGTGACTTCCTTTTTTGGAATTTCACAATGGATGGTTCTAAATATGAAGCAAGCCAAGTCCATTATGTAAAGAATAGGTAAAAAGTAATGGACGTGAGCAATCAATTTTATTCCGGCAATTGAAAAGAGGAATCTCTAGCAAGATTAATCATGGCACCACAAACATTCTAGTATTCAAGTAAAGAAAAAGGAAAACAGTATTTAAGAGAGCTGAAAGTTACTCAATTAACATGGATGTTAGCTGCCTGAAATATTTTCAAAACACATACTCATTAAATCTGCAGAATTATCTGTTGTTTTATGAGAAATTTAATGCCTGCCTTTCAGAAATTTTATGGCATTCGCTAAGCATTTAATTTCACAGATCATTTTATTCACAATACTGATGTCAAATAAAGACAAGGACATGGTTTTTTATTCAATATTAAACCACAGGCTTAATTATTAGACATATGCATTTTTTGTGAATGCTTTTTTGCCAGAATACCCTAAACATCTCAATTTGCGTTCATTCTATGTTTGGTATAATAGTAATACTATTAAGAATTGTCAATTCTCATGTAAAACAATCATAAGTCCCTGGTGGTTGCCTTAATTATAAAAAAAACTTGCCAATTTATTGTATGTTTTGGGGAAGGTTTTCTGTGTGTGCACGTGTGTGTGGGGGCATGGGAAGTTGTTTCATTTAAATCACATTGACATTGTAATTCTAAGGCATTTCTATATTAACTGGTTAAAGAATATCTCAACAAAACTTTTTTTGCATATCTTCAGGCACTAGCAACCATGCCTGAGCAAAAACACTAATCTACCGCTACTAGCAACCGGTGTCTGAGCAAAAACACTAATCTACCGCTTGTTGAAACTAGCAACCGGTGCCTGAGCATTACTATATTAACTGGTTAAAGAATATCTCAAACAAAACTTTTCTTGTACAACTTCAGGCACTAGCAACTCACAGTGCTTGAGCAGAAACACAATCTTGCACTAGCTGAACAATGCAGTTTCCGAATATATAAGAATATTAATTTTTCTTTTGACTCAAATCCACAGCGGTCCAGAGCGGGGAGTGTTACTGTAAAACAATTAATACCAAAGAGGCTAAAACTCACCGCACATGAATTGGGTGTCACCTAAATGCATGTTGTTCTACACATATCTTACTGCGTAATCTTGCCTATAATGAACAATCTATACTATATGAAACTATTGTAAGGGAAAAACTTGGACTGCTTAGTGTTCCATAAGACTGAGACTTATATAAGATGAAAGGTAACAGACTAGAGAAGACAATTTACATCCCATGAGCACAAAAATCATTAAAGCTACAGTCAAATAAGATGGAAATGTCCAGTAAAATTAGAAATAATTCAGACAGCTGTGACAAATTATTATCTACTTTATGTTTTATTTGACATTTTGCTCTGTAATTCTTTCAACTATATAGGATATTAATCTTAATGTAGAATATAGGAAGGATTATCTAATGATTTGTAATGGATGAATCAGGGATCATATTAATCACTCCGAGACAGAATTTTCATGCATGAGCACAAATAATATACATGTATATATAAATATATATAGATCATGCGTGAAATATATAGAAAACATAATTCATTCATATAAAATACATATTCAAAATACTGCATGTTTGTAACATCTGTTTTCTTTGGACTATTGTGATGTTTATATTAACTATATATATGTACACAGTGAGTTGCAGTCAATTTATGAAGTTATTTCATTTTTCATCAAACAATTTTTAGGAAGTTTGTAATAACATGTTTTTAATTCATTATAAAGATTCGTGTCAGGTGTACCTGAGTAAAATTGTCTTGTTTTCTTAAGCTTTAGTTTAATTAACCTGAATTATAAGCCTTCTTCTATGCAGATGGCCTGACTATTCCAACTGCTTTGGCTTACAAAGTTGAACAACAATCAGACCAATAAATCATAATTTATTGGTACCAACAATATTTAGAAAGAGCAACAAATGACAATTCAAAACAGAATCTCTGACATGAAAGTCAATAAACCAGTAAATAAACAAAACCACAAAATCCCCTAAAGTCTTCCTTCATACAAACTCAATTAACTGTGCAATGTTCATCACATATGAGTAACATCTCAGAGCACAAAAAAAACCTGTCAATTCCCTATAGAATTTCTCCAAAAATGGACATCATACAAGAGTCCCTTGACCCCAACAATCCATCAAAATAACATGTTTTTGTACCCAACTGAAGAGATAGCATTGTTTATCTTGTTTCATATTAACTAGATTTCCATCAATGACTTGTGTTGTTTCATCCTCTTCAATATTTTGGAAGACATTATTGTTTAGAGAGCACTCAGAATTCAACTGCTGCTTTACAAACAGTCAATACAAATGTTGGCTTTTTTAAACTTTACTTCACAGAGTATTTATATTGAATAAATTTGTTACATATTAAGTCAGATCAGCCAAAGCGCAGGTATTATTACACAGTATACCGTTCATATAAACTATCAGGATCGTCTTTATGTTTATGACAATTCTTCACAAGGAGGAGGGTACAAAAAAGGCATCACAATTATAGATGATTATACATAATATAATATATTTAATATACTTACTTTATTATAGTTAATCATACAAGGCACTTATATCACTTTCAAGAGCATAGCTTTTTTCTAAATTGATGTGTAGGCCTAATTTCTAGGACGGGTTTTGGAAGCATGCGCTTCGACTGTCGAAAATTGGAATATATTTAGTACAATAAAAATATTCAAGGCATTACTAGAAATTGAAAGTAAGAAAAATATTTTTTTTTTTCACTTTCTTGGAAAAAAATGGAAGGCTACAGCTTAGAGTACTCAGACAGCCTACCGGAAGCTAATTAATGCCGCTGAATTGAAGCCATCAAAATTCAAACACAAATTTATCACTTTTGAAAACAATTCAAATACAACTATTCCCATTGGTTCCCCTGTGACTATCAAGCAATTAAACAGAAAATTACCTTTTAAGCCAATCTCTGCATAAAACCAAACAGTTGATAATGAAAAAACAACATTTACAGACCAATAAAAATTGATTAGTTGATTTAAGGGATATCCTGTACAATTAACTTGTGCTGTAACATTGTCATGCACAAAGATTGATACTCCACTGTGCAAACTGGGGAAAATCTGTATCATTTTCATTTCTGATATTTCAATTAAGCTAATTACCCAGCATTGAATGTGTCACATTTTGAATTTGTAGCAATGTCCCTGAGTGTTTCGAATGAGTAAAATGTAGTCACTGTCAAACATTGTATCATCAGCCTAAAGGACAACTTTAATAAAAAAATAATGCTTATTTTGTCAGAGGCCATCTGTAGTTTCATATAACTTGTTAAAGCAGTATGCCTCCAGCTTAAAGACCTGAGATCATCCTGGTCCACCAGTAAAGCTGGAAAGTTGCCTTGCAACCATAACAGTGCCGATGTGACTTACAAGACCCAACAAAAAGAATTTCACTGTTTACAGTTATAAACTTTAATAATTACCTTTTAAATATTTTATTCTTACAGTTTCTTGTGTCATGTGAGCAAAACATGTTAGAATATATAATATATACGTTCCAATGACCAAGTTTCGGTTTTGCAAATCTCAGATCTTTCTACTGTCCTAGGTAAATGATCTGTCTGGACAAACTGTATAAAATGTCATTTCAATGTCTTCACACAACAGACCAAGAAAGACTCACAGTCTCCTGTTATGTCCATTTATCAGACAAATTCTACATATATTTCCATGTTGCGAGACTAACATAGTTCATAATAGAAACCTCTAGAGATGACAATTTTTTTTTAAAACAATGCAGACCTAATTCATACATCATAAATTTCACAACAGTTCACACTTTACAGATTGACATAATGCTATGTTATAAGTTTTTTTTTTTTTCCTTTTTACCAACAGAAAAAAAATCAACATTTCCATCGAGACACTGTATGCAAATCTTTCTGCAATATTTTGTTTTCTTTCAATTATTTTGTCAAATGGAAGACACGACAAAGCATTTCTAGATACAATGTTCCTGTATTTTTTTCGCAGTTACATCGAGTGATTCGTAACATGTTCATTAACAGTGCACGCAATCATTCATTGTCTTTTGCATCATTCTTGAGACAAAACGTACAATTACATTATTCCAGTGAGTTCCAATTGTAGACAGATTTCTGTGTATGGAAGAAATAGGAGATTGTTTTATGATATGTTGAATTTTCAGGCTATGATCTTTGCTAGTTCTAGTTTTTTATTCCTGTGCTCTTTCCTTAAATTGTTTTAAAATTTTGAGTGTTAGCAGCCTTTTACAAATAACAGACTTATAAATTGCCAACTGGAAATAAATTCTAGCCACCCAAGTCAGTCAAAAGTTTGGGAACTTATATGTAATCTTAATTTTGTAAAATTGCTATCTAAATTGAACATTTTGTTCAATGGAATACATAGCTACTGAAAAATAGGCGAGGCAGGATTTTTTATGAAGAAATGATTTCTATGGAAGGGAGGGAGGGAAGGGAAAGAAAGAAGGGAAAGGAAAGGAAAGGAAAAGAAAACAGAGAAAAGAAAGAAAGAAAGAAGATTGTAAATTATGCCTCTTTGCCATCTGTAATCAGAACTAATTATCAAACATCTTATAACAAGACTGTAAG